GGTGGGGGGGGGGGAGCAAGGGAAAAATGGCTCAAAAGCGGTGCATTCAAGAGAACTGCACCCAGTGCCTGTGCAAAGTCTAGAGGAGGTCTAAGTGTGGAGGCATTCTGGGTGGAGGTCAGGCTTGTACGGGTGTGTGCATGTGTGTGTGTGTGTGATTGTGCGTATGCTAGGCGGTGGAAAAGAGACGGGTGTGGAAGCTGTGCAAATAGTAGCGCCGTCCAGATGACAGCATGGTGTGGGACCGATATTTCGGCCAGTCAGCCCGATCAGAGGCATCAGGAGGCAGGCATCTACAGACTTTTATAGCCGCGAGTGACTGGTCGGCGGTGGTCGACTGTTGCATGCGTGGTGTCACGATGTTTCCTCTTCAATCCCCACACACATACACACACATGCATGCACACAGGTGCACACAATTGCTGGTGGAATGGGAAAAGAGGAAGGAAGTGCTTTACGATACCGAGAGCAGAATGCTGGAAAAAAGGACCAAGGACAGCTTGTAAGACAGAGGGAATCAGAGAAATAAATACTAGCCAAGGGGTAGGTGGTAAAAGTAAACGCTACGGTGGACGAACTACTGGGCTGATGGACAGGCATTCTGGCCTGGTTGTATGAATCCTGAAGATTAGTAAGTCGTTAATTTGTTGGGGTTTTGTGCTGAAACGTTTCTAGATGAGGTGATAGTTGGATCGCATATATGACTGGTGCACATTTACGCTTCTAAGGAAATGGCTATTAAGCCTGTTGGGCTGGCCTGAAAAGAGATGGCAGGTAAGATTGAAGTTGAGAATGTGTGCAGTTGTGGGTAGGCGGGTATGAGTTTAGCAATTCACCACAATCTGCCCATTCTAGAGGGTATAAAACTGGACCTAAGAGATGACCTTTATACTCTCGTGTCATTGGAGATGTCATCTTTGCTGGCAAGTCATTTAACCTCACTTCGGCTCGACAGAAATTCGCCATGGAGTTGTGATTGTCGATTGGAGTGTAGTTTCCCTTAATGAATCCATCTCCGATACCCATAAGTTCAGGCTAGTCAAGTGGCCGGTGTCGTCAGAGGGACCAAACATTATGGGAAACATCGTTAGGCACAGAATGTGGAACAGATGCAAGCATACCATCTATTTCTAATCTAATATCATATTCAAGCTAGTCTAGCTTACAGTTTACTAAAAATAATTGCTGCCCGGGATTCAAGAAATTGATCTTACAATAAGCGGAATTAAGGTTGCCCTGGGGTAGGTCCAAGGCGCAATCCTATTCCATTTTTATATCCAATTTTGCTATCTTATTTAGGTTTCAAAAGAATTGCTTGGCTAGTTCATGCTTAGGCTAGATGAATTCAAATGGACAAAATTGATAAACAATTGTGGTATCCCCCCTTCCGACCTTGGGAGATACCACAATTGTTTAGCACACGTTTAGTCAAAGGATCGGCTTCACTTGTCTCTTTGACGAGTTG